AATATTGCCAGATAGTTTTCTGTTTCAGCTATCATCTTTGCTTTCCAGTCAAATGCAAGCTTGTGTGCTTCCAGTTTGGCTTTTGGTTTAATCTCTGGTGAGAGCCTCATCAACTGTTCCAGTAGAAGAATGCAACTTTTCCTGATAACACTACGATCAAATAAAATTTCTTCATTATGAGGTTCCGGAGGATAAAATCCTTCAAGTGCTTCCAATACAAGCAATCCTGAGTCACATGACATTTTGAGAGCTCTAGATATTTCAATGCGCAACAACTCCTGCTCATTCCAATGATTGTATAAAAAATTCTGCAAATTCTTTCCGCCCATGCTCACAAGGATGGCAGCCATAGCATCGGAATGACCTAACATGCAAGTGGAGGCCGTTCCAGAGAATGAGGTAGAGCTGAGGGCCTTGGTATCAGTGGGGACAGATGGACTAATTGATACCACCTGTTTCAGCTGAGCCTCAGAAATGACAGATGATGCGGTTACATTTGCCTTCTGCCTTGTGAGGGATTCTATACACTCTTCAAGCTGTGAAGGCGGGTATTGAGATTGAAGCTCGTGATCCATAATGCATCTGATAACAGCTCTAATGGAAGCTACACTCTGTTCAATGGCTTCATTCTGTATGCAAAAGATAAGATCAAGCATTTCAAAGAAAAGATCTATCCAGCAAGATATTATAATAGCAGTGACAAATGTGGTAAAAGACCTTTTCTTTGACTGAGCACGTTTCTCCAATACAAACGCACTCAGAAATCTGCATAACTTGTTTCAAGTAGTCTTTGAGAATAGGTATTGGTAGGAAATGGCCTGTGAGCTCAAAAGCATAAGCATATTCAACAGCTTCAAGATGCTTTTGCTTGGCTATGAGGTTCTGGATGAAACCTATCATGAATATATGATTTAGTTGTCAAAGTTCCCTAATTACCTTTGAATAAATGGAATGACAATAATCTGCTCACATTTAATCCATCACCCGATAACATGCCATTCTACGAATATCCACAATGCAGCCATACAATAATCAACAATTCTACCAAGGCATCTCAACTGTTTGAAGATGGAAAAAAAACGCAATGTTAAGAAAACTCAACACTTCCAGAGGAATTGGCCACTTAAAGTCAAAGCCATTTCTCTTTCGCAGTTGCAACACAATCTACTAGTTCCTCGTCATTTTGGATCAAGCTTTAGTGGCCCCAGATCAATGCTAATAGTAAAAGGAACCTAGCCACACTCCCACCATGGTAGTACACACACCAAATTTCCCTCCCTTTTCGTGTTTCAGAGCAATGCAAACAACAACAACAAACCCGGAGGGTAGTGTGTACGCAGACCTTACCCCTACCTTATAAAGATGAGGGGAGAGCAATGCAAGCTGTACCAAAATAGTACACATCCACAAATGAACACAACGCATTCCTTGGTTACCCCATGATCTCATAATCAGATACCTACCAAGGGATTGTTTAATTAAACTGAAAATTAAGGTCAGCCATCTTTTCTTCAGACTAGAAACCAAAAGTATTTTCATTAATCAAAGGCTAAGCACTAAGTCGGCGCAGGATAATGCAAAATCGTCCGTTGACAATCACAATCAGTTCTGTAATGAGCTAAAAAATCTTTCATATTTTGTTCATCATATACATCCCATACATTACATCGAAGAGCTAATAAAGTAAGACATTTAAACTTCTACATATGGACAGATGTGTTCCTTCCCTCAAAGCAACTCTAGTTCCTCACTCTTTATACAATCTAGCATATACAAGCTGGTATATTCTCCAAATTTTCCTCAGATCTTTCCTGATACCGCGACCATTCTAGCATCACTTTATACTCTTTGGAATCACCCATTTGACGTAAAATTAACATAAAAACAGTTCTAACAAAAGATTTGCCACAGGGCAATGTTGGATCAGGTAATAGAAGTCTTGCCACAAGGCTAAAAATTACAGAGCAATTACATTATGGAAAACAAAAAGGTCTTTTAATTTACTATACGATGTAATTAAAAGACTGTATAATTAATATCCTAGCAATTACACAGCCAAGTAATTACATGGCGTTGTTCCAAAACACCCTCAAGTTTCTGGGCATACCACTTATCTACATCAAAATCAAATTGATCATCAATATCCATTTGGATGAGAAATAAGAAGCAAGCGATAGTACAGAAATTATCTTACCAAATAGTGGTAGACTAGATTCGAGCAAGAGAAGATGTAGAATGAATGCTAGAAAAAGAATAACAAGACAAAGGCAATATCGATACTTACAAGGAATCTTCTCTGTGAAACCAAGAAGACGACACAACTCCATTGACTTGTTATGCTCAGCAACAACAGTCAGCAGGTTCATAAGCCCATCCGCATCAAAGGAAGAGACCAGACCATAAGAAGCCAACAGATACAAGAAGCCCAAGATCTCTAGTTGATCCCCAGTCATTGCCCTCATTTTAGCCTTCCACTCTCTCGCAAGTTTCCTTGCTCTTCTGCGCACAATAGGTTGAATCTTCGGTGATACTCTAATTAACTGCTCTAATAGAAAAATGCAGGTATGCTTGACAACACTGCCCTCAAACTCTGTATCTCCGTTCATCAAGTGGGGAGGATAGAACCCTTCCATTGCATCAAGCACCAACTGTGCAGGGTTGCGAGACAATTGAAGGGACCTGAAAACATCATCAGACAACGAATCTAGCTTGTTTGCGTGCTCATTTAAGAATATCTGTAAAGTCCTCCCGTCCATTGTCGCAACAAGTTTTATATCAGCAGAACTACTAGAGATAGCACCAACTCTTTCCACTTCTACATTGTATAAATAAATAGACTCAGTCTTCTTAGGGACATTACCAATAGTTTTCAGTTGCTTCATTTTATCCTCAAGCACTTTAAACCGATCTTCCATGTGCTTTTCTCTTTGTTCAAGCTCTCTAAATTTCACCTCAACCTGTTTCTCTTTAAGTGCTACATCTTTCAGTTTTTTCTTGAAGAATCCTTGTTCTGTTTGGAATTTTTCCTTTTCTAATTGAAACTCACCATGAACCAAATTCAGTTTCTTCTCCCTAGAATCAAGATCTTCTGATCGCTGCCTATATGCCTCTTGAATAGAATTGAGCCCTCCCTCCCTTAGTTGGAGTATTTCCTCGAAAAAATTCAAGTCCTGCTTGCGGAGTTCAAGTTTCTTCTTAATTGTATCCAGACCCTTGTCCTTGTCCTCCAGTTCCTTCTTCACTGAGGTCAGGTGGTCTTCCTTGATAGTAAGTTTCGTCTTTACAGAATCCAAAGTAGTTTCCTTCTCTCTTAGTTCCTTCTGAATGGAATCTAGGTAATGTTCCTTTTCTCTAAGTTCCTTCTTCACGGTGTCCAAGCTCCTTACTTTTATTTCAAGTTCCTTCTCCGTCGACTGTAAATTATTTTCCTTAACTTGAAATTCTTCCATTCGTTCAGCGAAATTTCTCTCTTTCAACTGAAGGACATCTGATTCTTTGCGAATCAAACTCTGAATCTTATTCAACTTCTCCAAGAGCTCCTCAAACTCCTTGGCCTTCATACAAATCTCCGTAAAACTAGACTTGCAAAAATTCTCCAACTGCTTATGCTCAAATCCTATTTCCTCCAAAAGGCGTTCCCCAATCTTTTCTTGCTCGATCAGCTTCTCCTCTCTCAATTTCACAGCTTCATCGAATCCCTTTTTGGCAAAAATGAAGTCTTGCCACTTGCATTCCAAATCCCTGATTTCTCTTTCTTGGAATGCACAAAACTCCTCTTCTTTTGTTTCAACTTCTTTCCGTCTCTGCTCTAAAGATTCCCTGATCAAGTCAAGTTCCTTAGAGCCCTCAGCCACCGATTCTTGTACTGAGGTCAAGTACTTCTCCCTGACCTCAAGTTCATTGAAGCATTCTTGCAAACACTTGCTGGTCATATCAGACTCCTCCTCAAAAGTCTTCCACTCCAGCATAAACATCAACATTAATTTCCTTAAACCCTTCTTCATTACCTCATTCTGTTGCATAACTTGAGATATCTTCTCCATAATCACACAATCTTCATAAGCTAAGAGCAGGGAAAATGAGACAAACGAGGCTACATTAAACCCATCAGTTTTTTCTTAAATGGCGAATATAACGGTTCTTAATATTTAAGTTATTATATTTATAAGGGAAAAGGCCAAATAAAACTTGTGTTATTCGAAAGATCAATTATAACCCCGTTTAAATTCGAATCCAAAAATGACCCTGCCGTTATAAAATGGGTCTAATAATACCCTTGTATTATTCAAAATGGATCAATAATGCCCTGAAATTTTTTTTAAAAAAAAAAATACTTTTAAAAACTGAAAAATATATATTATGTAAAAATTAGAAAAACAAAGGAATTTGCAAAATATATATTTTTAAGTCTTTTCAGTTTTTTTAAAGTATTTATTTTGTAAAAATTGGAAGAAAAAAAAATTAAAAAACTGGAAAAAAAAAATCTCCTAAAGTAGTAGACTACATATGCATTAGTTTTAAAAAAAAAAAAAATTTGCAAAATCTTTTTTTTTTCAATTTGATGGTTCAATATTTTTTCGGTTTATTTTTATAAAATAAAAAATCTACCATAATTATCGGTACAGTTATAGATTTATATAAAAATATACGGTTTTATTAAAAAAACCTAAAAATCGGTTCGGCACGGTATGATTATGTCGGTTTAGTCGGTTTTTAAATATTCATTTACAATATGTCGGTTTTTTTTTTAATAAATTTCCAGTTTTTAAAAAAAAAAAATTCCAATAAATTTCCAGTTTTTTTTAAATTTTTTTTTCAGTTTTTACAAAATAAATACTTTAAAAAAACTGAAAAGACTTATATATTTTGCAAATTCCTTTCTTTTTTTACGAAATATATATTTTTCAGTTTTTAAAAGTATTTTAAAAAAAAAAATTCAGGGCATTATTGATCCATTTTGAATAACACAAGGGGCATTATTAGACCTATTTTATAACGGCAGGGTCATTTTTGGATTCAAATTTAAACGGGGTTATAATTGATCCATTTCAAATACCACAAGGTCATTTTTGGGCCTTTTCCCTATTTATAAAGTTATGGTTTCACGCATGTCGCAATTTAGTACAAATTTATGTTACGTGTCAAAAATATTTAGCACATGAAATTAAAAAGGGAAATACTATATAAGAAAAAGTCAAGAGTGAATACCACGTCTCCAGAAAAAACACATTCCTGAGAAGCATCCTCAATCTCGATTGAGAGAACCCTAATTTATATATATATTAAAGGAATAAAGTTACCATATATAATTGGCATTATGGTTAAACTAAGTGTTAAGCTAATAAATGTCAATAGTATATGATAACTTTATTCTATTAGATTATGTTAGTCAAATACAAATATATACATATATATATNTCAAATTTAAATTAAAAATAAAATTTTATCCTTTTTTTATCATGTTATCATACTTAATCCGGTTAATGATCATATGAAATCATGTTAGAAACTTTTGTTATCTTTTCTAATTATTTAAATACTACTTCGCCCCTGAAAAAAAAACTACTCCTTATAACTATAAAACTCTTTCACATTTAAAATCCTATAATTATAGTTCTTTAAAACAATGTAGCTATAGTTGAATAAAGCGAATTTCTTTTAAAATAAATATTATATATAGGGTACACGTCTATGTTTATCCAAATAACAAAAAAGAGTTTAAAAATCGAATAAAAGTTTACTTACATAAATAATAATGAAGTAAGCATACATGCTAAAGAAAGAAACATCACAAAAATCAGTCAATATTTAAAAAAAATTATTTTTTTCTTTTCTTGTTGAAGAATATTTGTTTGAATAGTCAATTTGTATTAATGGGCATCAAACAAATAACAAAACTTTGGCTATACAATTGCTATCATTAATTTTAATTTAGCACATTCTAGAAATTGAAGGGTATAAGTTGAAACCCCTTCATTTAGCTGTACTCAAGCCAATATTGAAAGGGTATAAATTTTTTTTCGTTTAAGAATATTAGTTTTGAATCATTAGATTATGTGAAAAGTTTTTTTTTTCTCGAACTCAAGAAGAGATATATTGGTTTCTAATTGATAGTTTCTATAGCGATTTTCAAGTGTAACAAAGAGTATATTTAAAAAAAAAATGGTATGACGTGAATTGTTTTTTAAAATGCAAACAAATTATTTCGAAAGAACTCTTTACTTTTTTCTACTTCAAAGATAATAAAAAGATAAGATATTTTTGAACATTAGTAGAGAGTTTTTAAAATTATTATAATAGAAGTCATATTAAGGATAAACTCAAAAAAAATGAAATCTTATGGAATATTTACACAAATATCCGGCCAGATTTATTGTTTACTTTTTATAGCTAATATAAATAGATAATATACCGACAACACACGATTATACACATATTATATATGGGGTATATATAAATTACACATCCTTAAATTTTTTAATTTAAGTGGTCGGGTGAGCACCTATTTAGGCTGATTAGATAAAGCCAAAAAATAATATAAAAGAATTTCAACCAAAGATTAAAAATATAAATAAAGTTCTTACGTAGACAATTTCTATTAAAACTCATTATTTTATAGTGAAATAAATTATTTTTTTGTAATAAAAGAAAGAATGGCATAAAAAATAAGATAAAAGAAAATAAATATTGAAACAAATGTATGAAAGATCCAAAAACCAGAAATAAGAGATGACAACGAATTTCTTCTTATATTTCATCTTTGTTGAATTTAAAAATTTGGAAGTTAATCTCAACGATTTCAAATATTGTTTCAACTCAAATACATAGATTATAAGATAAGGATATGTTAGAATATTTTTTTTTTTATTTACATTGTGTGTCATTTTAAAAAAATTATTATTACTAACAAACTGATATGATATTCGAATTTGAATTTAAATGCAATTTGAGTAGTTTGCATTGAGGTTAAGCCAAGAATGGTGTTGAAAAATAGACTACTTGGAAATTTTAAGATAATATATGCAATGTTATATAATAACAATCAACTAATTTAACATTTAATGATTCAAAGAACAATTATTTTTGTATATATAGGGTATTAAAAATTCAAAATCTGTGGCTAGAGATATCGATAAACTTAAAATGGAGTCATACTGATGGCGCCCAATACTACAGCTAGGCAAGCCAACTAATAAGTCAATCATATATTGGTTAAACTTTTATTCTAAGAAAATAATAAAATACCAACTTCTACCAATGTGTGTGCCAAGACCCGGTGTCACAAGTGCATGAGCATCTAGTAAATTATACAAAACTCCAAATACTGTCTAAAATGAAATAGACAGAATATAAATATAAGAAGAGACACTGGTAGCTGCAGAGCGGCTCAGAAAGGCAGCTCACCACTATG